CAAATCCATTTTTAATAGTGGTTGTTGAAGCATTTCAAAAGCATAGCATTAGGAAATGCTTTTAGGGGTGCCTGGGTGGTTCAGTGGTTGAGCATCTGCCTTTGGCTCAGGTTGTGATCCCAGGGTCCTGGGATTGAGTTCGGTATCAGGGTCCCTGCAGGGGGCCTGCTTCCCCTTCTGCCTATGTCTCTGCCTCTCTCCGTGTCTCTCATGAATAAATAAAATCTTAAAAAAAGGGGGGGGGGAATGCTTTTATTCTGGCCTTTTAAAAAAGTCTCTATCATTATTATGCAGGATAATGCACAGGAAAGTGTTTTCATAGGTTGTAAGTAAACATTTCATATATATAAAGACATCACTGCAACCACCTGAAGGTCATTATACTATATTTCAGCAAAAATGTCATTTCAGAAGAATCACTTATTAATTCATTAAAAATACCTAAGTTCCCACTGAGTGTTAGGCAATGTAGACGCAGAATTAAACCAGACAGTCCTAATCTGTGGGGGTGAGGTGAGGGCCTCAGTCTTTTCCCAAACTGGTCTTTTCATCTTTATCATACTCCAACCACACCTGGTACTCTTTGCTCTCTCCTGTGCCTCTCCCTCCTGTCTCTCTCTTCCTCCCCCCACCCATACCTTCCTTCCTGTTTCTTCCTCTACTGGAGTTCTGAGCCATCCAAGAGTGTGCTTCTCCCACATTCTGCAAAAGTCATAGCATAAGCATAATACCAAGTATCCAGTATGTAGTGACACACATAGCCTTATTGCCATTAATAACCTGCTTTTACTATACTTCCAACCTTCCCAAAAGTTACCGAAAGCAGTTCTTCCTCAAAAAAAAAAAATATACATATATATATATATATATGTATATCTAAGGAGGTTCTAGATTAACAGTAACAAATAGATGAGCAGAAACAATTCTCCTCTCAAAGATCTATGGATCTGAGTTCTGCATGAGAGTAATCAGCTGGGGAGACCCTTAGAAAATCCTAAAGGGCACCAAAAACTAGAACCCTAAAGGGCACCACAACTAGAACATAGATTTTTAAGACTCTAAGGTACCTCCTCTGGTCCTACTCCCTCACTTTATAAAGAAACTAAGGCTCAAGGAGAGGATATGACTAAGATTATACCGCTTGTCTTTGGGGCAAGATCAGAAGCTGAGACACCTGCCACCCAATGGAGGGCCCGTTCCAGAACTGCCAGGAGCTGAGTGCATGGCTGGGAGCAGCCCTTGAGGCAGTGGCTTCTGGTGTTCAGCCACACCCCTACAGGCATACTGCCTTTCCAAAGTTACTCTCACTGTTTCTTCCTTGTGCACCTCTGCCTCACTTAAGGCAACTGGAGACAGCACTGGGACACTAGGACTCTCTGAGCCAACAAACAGCTCTCTTGAATGGCAAGCCTATATTTATTCTGTAAAGTGGGACTATTTTCTGTCCTTTTCTTCAGAATTGTGATGAAGATCGAGATGCTAGCCATCAAAGAATCATATTCTTTGAAGAAAATGTAGAGTAGAAATATAGTAAAACATTTGCATTGTAATTAAGTCCTGCTAAAATGTTAAGCCCATGACTTAGATTCCAGCATTTTACAAAGGCCTACAATACTTTTGATCCTTCTACATTTAAACATCTTTTTAAAATAGCATACACACTTGCATGCAATTCAAGTAACAATCACACCTGACACTTGGTCCTTAATAGCAACTCTGGTTGGGAAGATAGAGTAGGTGTCATTATCCCCAATTTAAGGAAGGGAAAACCAGTTCAGAGAAGCTACTAGTCTTGCCCAAGGTCACACAGGTAATAAAATGCAATGCAGAAGCAATGATCTTATTTAAGGCTCCTCTCTGTGCAATTTAGCTTTACAACTTTCTTCTCACATTTTGCACTTCAACACTGAAGAGCTACCTTTTCTGTTACTTTTGAGACATTTAAGACACCTGAGTTATTTCACAAGAAACACCTTGATTCTGGAATGCCGGCAACAGCCTTATGGCAGGTACTTCCCACTGCTGGAAACTACATGACACCAGGGAATTAATTATGGGGTGGGATAGACTTTGGAGTTCACAAACAGGATTAACCTTTATAATGATTTTAATTATTCATAATTTATTCTCTGCATTCTTTCAAAAATAATCTGAGATGGCTCTTAGCTCTGACAATAATTCAATCAAAAGGATTGTATTCATTTGTTCATTTTTTCAGCTTAGCTGAGATTCTTTTTCAGTTTTTCTTAGCAATCTCCACATCCAATGTGGGGCTCGAACTCATTACTCAAAGATCAAAAGTCACATGCTCTTCCAACTGAGCCAGGCAGCTGATTTTTTTTTTTTCAACTTACTCATATAGACACAGAGAAAAAGATCTGGAAAGCTATCCCCCAAATTTTGCATTAGTTATTTCTGAGTATGGATGTATTATTAACGCTAATCTGTATTTTGTCTTTTTCTACAATGAATACATATATAGTTTTGGTAATAAGAAAACAATCATGATCTCACTTGTAATCTAAAAAACTGAACTCACAGAAATAGGGAGTACAATGGCGGTTGCCAGAAACCACGGAATGGGAGAAATGGGAAGATGTTGGTCAAAGGGTACAAACTTCCAATTATAAGGTGACTTGAGTTCTAAGGATCCAATAGACAATATGGTGACTATAGTTAACAATGCTGTATTATATATTTGAAGGTTGCTAAGAGAGTAATTCTTAAATATTCTCATTACAAAAAAATAGCAATACATACAAGTACGAAATCATCATGGACTTAGACAATTATATTCCAATTATATCTTAATAAAGCTGGGTGGGGGAATCAAACAATAAAGATTTTTATTTTTAAAACAAATTCTTCATTCTGATAAATAGGAAAGGGGTTATCTCCACAAAGAGTTATAAAGCTCTGTTACTGTAAACTAAGTGCATGAAAAATGTAAATAATACCCTAAAGCGCCCGGACCAGAACCTTTGCCTTACTTCCCCATTTGGATACTCTCAGCCCTCAAGACTATAAAACAATATGCCAGGACACCAATTTTACACAAATCTTGTGGGGAAAAGCTTGTTTTATATATTGAAATCATATTCAATATATGAAATCACGTGAAAAAAATCACAAATTCTTAATTTTCACACTTGCTGGGGTCAATCTGAACTATATTCCAACACCTAGAAGGGCTTGTCACTTTCATTACTGGAGATTCTTCTATGAAGAAGTTTGGGAAGCCGTAAGGCAAACAGTACCATCTTATTTACCCTTCTTTTTGAAAGAGACTAAGTCTCGTTTCCTGTTTAAAAAAAAAAAAAATCAAAATTTCTTCATCTACTGTAACTTTTAAAATTCTTTATAAAACAGGTGGCAGAAAACATATTACCAGGCAAATCTGGAAGCCCATAGGGGCATAGTTCACTCTACCTCCCTTGCCCAGAGGGGAGGCCTGGCATCCTGGGTTCTGAGGATGGTGGGGCCCGGGCTGCCCCATTTCTGCAGAACAGCAGACCACTCTGCACAAGGTGCTAATTCATTCATTCCACAAATGTTTATTGAGCAAAGCTTGAGAAAGGCCTCTTAGGGGACAGTGGGATCATTCACAAGGCAACGGTCAGGTCTAACGGATCAGATGTGGACAATCAATCTTTCATTAGACCTCAAACCACCTCTAGGATAAAGCAAACAGGGCTCCTGCCCATTCACTCACTAGCAGCTGGGGGGGAATCAGGCAGGCGTTCTGGAACAGGACTGCTCCTTTAGAGAGGCTAAGGCAGTCACTTATTCCCACCAGAATGACCAAAACTCCTGCACCATAAATGGCATAAATGCTTCTAAAATGCTTTGAATAATGTCTGGCACCTACTGAGAACTCAATAATAGTCATTTTTACTGTTATGATTCTGACTTGCCCTTATTCAAGGAGCACCAAACAATGTGGAAAGAACACAGGTTTTAGAATGAGAGAGCCTACCTTTGAATCCCAGCTATGTTGCTTACTAGCTATGTGACTAAGGGAAGCAATCTTTCTGAGCCTCAGTTTCTCATTTGTAAAATGGGAAAAATGCCAGTATACCTTCCTTCATGTGGCTTTGTGAGAACTAAAGACACATTATATGCAAAGAAGAATGTCTGGCCCATAAGTGCCCAATAAAGACAGTCAATACTGCTACTGTCCCGCATCTTTCCCCAACACTCGTGACAGGTCCTGGCATCTGAGTTCACCCAGACACCACATTAAGAGACAGAAGGACTACAGGGGTGAAGGGAGGGGTGGGAGCACCTGGAGATCTTCCACAGAAATCCTCCATCAAAGTCTTCAACTCCTTTCAATCATCCTGTTTGGCTGCTTCATCCAACTGATAGCTGGAGCCACTATTCCCTCACTGGGAATGAATGCCAAGAAGGGGACAGGAAGCTGAACAGCGGTTTGAATCCATCCCACCTCCCCACGCCGGTCTGTCTGAAGCCCACTGGGCTTCCTCTGCACATCCCTGCCAGGCTGTGTGGGTCAGGAAGCTAACAGTAAGATCCACAGTCTGTTCTTACGCAGACTTCCATCTCAAATCCAGAGCCCGGGCTCCAGAGGCTGCTGGTCACAAACCAGCATTAAATGAAAATGAGGACTACCATTCAGACAGAAAAATGGAGGCCCTCAAAGTCAAAGGGGATTTATAAGGGCCGGAGGGAGGAAAGGGAAGCGGGAGGAGTCAGGATGCGTGCGGAGAGACAGGCCCACTTTGTACACAGCTGATAGAGCCCTATCTCTGTCCTAGCTGCTCAAACAGTTGGTTTTCCATACTGGAAGATGATAAATCCCATTCCTAGGACTTAGAACTAACGATGGGACGAGGTCCGGGTGTAGGAAGATAATTTCAAAATAAACTTGTCTGTCAATACCAAACTAGTTTTCCAAGTAAAAAAAAATCACCAGCCCCCGACTCAGCCTTCCCAAGCGCCCACCTGTAGAGAGGTCCTAAAGCCCCACTTTACTTCACCTGAGCAGCCTCGGGGAGTGACTCTGCAGCCAGCCCAAAGCCCGGGGTCCGTCCTCGAAAGCCCCGGGAAACGCGACAAACCGGGAGGACCCCGCGCCCCCGCCCCGCCCCGCGCCCCGGCCGCGGAGCGGGCTCCTAAGGGCGCTCGCCGGATGCCAAACGCGGCTCCCCGTTGAGGACTCCGCGCACGAGGCAGCAGTCCCCACCAACACCTCCTTCCTGGAACAGAGACCCGAGGAGGGAGAGAGAGTTGCCGAGAGGACACGTCGGGCGGGCAGAGGCAGAGACTAGAACCGCGGGGCTTCGAGTAGCAGCAGCCGGGCAGGGAGCGCGCCTCGCCGCCTCCCGCGTCCCGGAGCCTGCGGCCCCGCGGGGTGGTGCAGGCCCCGAGCCCCTGGCGCGGCGCGTTACCTTCCTCCCGACACGGGCCCGCGCGCCTCCTGCGCCCCGCACACCCTCGGGGCGGCCCAGGTGTCGCCCCGCCGCTGTCAGCGCCCGGCAGCGTGTGCAGGGCCCCCGCGGGCGGCGGGCGGCGGGCGGCGGGCGGGCGGGCGCGCAGGGGCGGCTCCGGGAGCGCCGACCAATGGCGAGGCCCCGCGCGCCCCGCCGCGCCCCGCCCCGCCCCGCCCCCGGGCTCTCCGCCCCGCCCCGCCCCCGCCCCGCCCCGCCCCCCCGGGCTCTCCGCCCCGCCCCCGGGCTCTCCGCCCCGCCCCCGGGCTCCCCGGCCCGCTCCCCTGCCCTTCTCCCGCTTCTCTCCGCGCCTCGTACTTCTTCTCCCTCGGCCCTGGCCCTCCCCGCCCGGGCCTCCTCCAGTGCACCTTGCCCCAAACACCGTTTTCTACCGTGCAAGCAGAGTGCGGCGGTTGTGTTTTGACCACTGTGCGTTAGGAGTGCTAAAGCCCAAGGACCTGGCGCGCAAGGAACCCCTCTGCTCAGAGACCGAAGTTAGCCGCCACGCAGGCCAAGGAAGAGGATGGGATCAGAGCTTAACCGCTCCGAACGTGTAAAATAGATAAAAATGCTTCACAAGTTGTTTTTAAAGTGGTGCTTTAAAATATCCAGTAATACCCGGGTAAGCTGTGAGCGATGTGTGTCGCCTGAGCCGCTCCATGGGTGTGCAACGAGGGCCGGTATGCTGCTGGAAGGTGCTGGAAGGTATTATATCAGGGTCATTTAAAAAATGTTACCAATGATGGGGCCAACCCAAGCAAACTTCTGGAAGAGGTAAACCTTCAGGCCTTTTCTCCTCATCGACCCCATTCATGTTGTCAGTTCAACGGGGGTAGCCCAGGTCTGCCTATCTTTCTTCTCTCAAACTTGTAAATGCTGATCCCAAGGACCTCATTCAGTACTGGATGCTGGGTTGCTAACCTGGCTCAGGAATCCTCGCCCTGTGTTATGTGTGATTCTGGCTTTCACCCAAGCTTTGATAGTCTCCTCTGTCCCTTTGCTGGGTGGGCACTGAGGATGCAAAAGAGGAATAACCACTCATCTTGCCTTTGAAGAGACAAATTTGTAAATAATTTCAATTTAGTGTAATAACAGCTAGAATAGGTTACAAACACTGGGAGAGGAGGGCAATACAAGGTTAAATACTGAGGTCAGAAGGAAGGGCTGCAGAGAAGCAGGCAAAGGCATACAGTTGCCTGTCATATGTTGCAAGGGTTGTGTGACAGTGAGGCAGAGATGAAGCTAAAGAGGTAGATGCGGGAAGAGCAGCTCTGCCTGCCTTGCTGAGGGAAGCAGACCATGTCCTGTTGGTGAGAGCTACTGGTGAATGACTTTAAGCAGGGGAGTGGTCTGATTTCATTTGTCTGCTATCTCGCTTTCAATGTTGTCTGTGCGTGCTTTGGTTATCTTCTTCCTGCTCCTCTCCAACGGGGGAGGCAGGCACTGGATCTTGCTCACCTGTGGGTGCCCTGCATTCTTGGTACAAGGCTTTGAAGGAACTCAGTTCTCCCTATTTCAAATGTCACTCCTCCCAGAAAAGAAATAACCCTGCTAGGGAGGGTCTTAGGATTCTTAACTTTAGACTCTGGACAAGACAGGTGGGGGAGAAATTTTGAGGAAGAGCCTTGCTGGGGCCCTCATCGCAAAAGTTCAGAAAGCTCAGAGGTTAAAAGCTGGAGCTGTGATTTTAAGTGGTCAAAGTTCAAATACTGCTCTCTCCCCCACACACACTTTCTAACAGAACCTTCACCCAGTTACTTAACCTCTCCGTGCCTCACTTTGCTCATTTGTAAAAAAGATGATAATAATGCTCCTCTCTAAGGCTACTGTGAAGGTTAAAATGAGAAAGTGCATGTGTATAGCAAAGTCCCTTGCACAGAGGAAGTACTGAATAAATCTTAGTTAACATGATCATATCAAGTCAGCAGAGGCTTGTTCCTCTTAACCTATAGTAGTAGATTGCCCTTCTTCAGGATGCCTGGGTGGCTCAGTGGTTGAGCGTCTGCCTTTGGTTCAGGTTGTGATCCCAGGATCCTGGGATTGAGTCCCACATCAGGCTCCCCTGAGGGAGCCTGCTTCTCCCTCGACCTATGTCTCTCTGCCTCTCTCTCTCTCTCTCTCTCTCTCTCTGTCTCTTTTATGAATAAATAAAATCTTAAAAAAAAAAAAAGATGGTCTTTCTTCAAAATAGTTTGCATGTAAATGACATGCAAATTTCACAAAAATTCTCTGTTGATATTGAAGGGAAAAGCAAGAAGATAGGGATAATGCTGTACTGGGTTTAGTGTAGAGACTTTGGTGGGTGCCCTGACTCCATTATTCTCCACCACTGAACTAGCTGGTTGACTTTGGACAAGTCACTTGACCTCTTTAGGCCTTTGTTCCTCTTCTGTAAAATAGAAATACAGTTGACCCTTGAACAACATGGGTTTGAACTGCACAGGTTCACTTATATGTGGGTTCTTTTTTTATATATAAATATAGTACTGTAAATGTATTTTCATTTATAATTCTCTCGATAACATTTTCTTTTCCAGCTTACTTTACTATAAGAATAAAATATGTAATACATATACAAAAATGTGTGTTAATCAACTGTTTATGTTATTGGTAAGGCTCTCAGTCAATATAGACTATTAGTAGTTCAGTCTGGGGAGAATCAAAAGTTATAGGTGGATTTTCTATTGGGGCGGGAGGAGAGATAGGTGCCCCTAATCCCTGAGCTGTTCAAGGGTCAACTATAGTCATATTAAGGGACCTATGTAAGGGAGATGCTACAATATATATATATATATATATATATATATAGCACATTGCCTGGCCCAAGGTAAGATCTCAATAAATGTTAGCTAATAGTATGATAATGGTTAGAAGAGATAATGGTTAGATGATAATGGTTAGAAGAGTCTTATACATTTGGGAAAGGGAGGAGAAATCTAATAGTAATGCACTGTAAAGGAAAAATGTAATCCTAAATGTAAACATAAAAAAACAAAACCTAAATGGAAAGATTGATGCTGGATCTGTGAAAACTGGGACAGGAGTGAAAGTGAACTTAGAAACCTGCAAATGGGAGGCTAGCCTGGAATAGTTTTCTAGCTGGGGATGGGGTTTTAAATCTGTAACCCCAACTCAGTGGAGCTGAAATAAAATGGAGTGCACTTGCCAGTGTTGGTATGACTGCTCTCCAAGTGGTCCTCCTGAAATGGTGGAATGCCATAAGATTGGTGCTTTCAAATGAGAATCTGGGATTTAACCCCTAATCCCCCAGGTGTGACTTTGTAGAGTCACAGGCACATCATCCAAGTTGTTTAGTTTTACCAGCCAGTTAATAGATGAGTATTGTGTGTGTGTGTGTCGGGGGGATACTAGGTGTGGCTCCTTCAGGCTTGGAATATCTCCCCTCTATTTCAGAACCAAGGAATCCTTCTTCTGCATCAGGGCCCAGGACAAATGTCATGAAGTTCTGCCTTTTTAGGCTGAATGAATTATCCTTTGAACCTCTGGAACTCCCACAGTGTAGTCCTCAAGGCTTTTCTTGGCATCAATTTCATTTTCTTTCTAGTTCATCGTCACAGGATATACCACTCCCCAGCAGTTTTAAAGCTCACCCAATTCAGGATACCCCTTTTCTCTTTGTATTTTTTCTTACTACCTCCATCCTTCCCCTGACAGCATCTCTATCCCAAATGCCTTGCACACTATAGGCACTCAATAAATGCTTGTTGCATTGCAGGCAGTTCTCCAATAGTAGTTATTTTTTTTTAATTTCTATTTATTTATGATAGTCACACACACACACAGAGAGAGAGAGAGAGAGAGAGGCAGAGACATAGGCAGAGGGAGAAGCAGGCTCCATGCACCGGGAGCCCGACGTGGGATTCGATCCGGGGTCTCCAGGATCACGCCCTGGGCCAAAGGCAGGCGCTAAACCGCTGCGCCACCCAGGGATCCCTCCAATAGTAGTTATGTTACAGAACACAGCACTGTTTCCACCATGGAAAATTTTAAAAAATAAAAAACAAAACAACTTCCTGTAGAGACATGACTTTATCTTTAAGCTATGTAGATTTATAACTTCTTACCCACCAAAAATTGAAGATACTGCTGAAATGCTGTACAATTACATCTAGCATGGTAATGTGGTTAGATGACGTATAGCATTAGGTATCAAATGTATAGCATTTAGAAAACAATTCGGTCACAGTACTGGGTAAACAAGGAATTTGGTTTTCTAAATAATTTGCAAATACTAAATCTTTTTAACATTTGGAAATACAAAACTTTGGCCTTGAATCAAATTGTGTGAGCAGTCTCTCCACAGTCTTTAATAATGCCTTGCATTTCTACAGGGCTTTTTGTATTTTTCAAAGTTCTTTCAGTTTAATTATCTTGTTTGATCTTCCCATGAACTCTGTGATGTAGGAAGTGCTGCTCTTATTAGTATCTGCATTTTACAGATGAAGATAGGAGGGATTTAAGAGGATCAGGCACTAAGCCCAGGCCAAATGGCAAACTAGTGACAAAGTCAAGGATCTACTATACCAGTGAGATTTCTGACATTTGTGAAAATTTTGGCATCATTTTTTATGACCTTTCTGAGTAGTAATCTTATGCAGACAAGTCTTAATTTATATTTATGTATATACATTTTCATATAGAGTTCCTTTTATAAAGAAAAACCTTTGTAGCAATCATCTCCCTCGGATACATACATGTAATAATTGTGATATTTCTTCAGTGCCTCTCATCTGTGCATATCAAGATGCATTGCAACATAAATACTCTTTAAAAACCTCTAGGTTGGGATCCCTGGGTGGCGCAGCGGTTTGGCGCCTGCCTTTGGCCCAGGGCGCGATCCTGGAGACCCAGGATCGAATCCCACGTCGGGCTCCCGGTGCATGGAGCCTGCTTCTCCCTCTGCCTATGTCTCTGCACCTCTC